GTTTGATTTATTTTTACGTATTGTAAATCTTAGCTACATTAAAAGATATATATTTTAAGTCTACATATACAAATCCACACATTTATCACATAATACGGTATGAAAAATTGAGAAATCAAAAAATCGAAAGCGCCATCCAACAAGAGCCGCAATTGGATACTACTATACCGATAATCGACTACACTTGAAATACATATATAAACGTAATATAGAGGATATGTACGACATAATAAAGCGTCGGAGTACTACTACTCTTCGTTTTATGCTATGTACTTAGATGTCTACAAAAATTATAACGAAGTTCGCCACCCCTCAACTCAATTAACTAAATCACCTAAAGTAAATAGCAAGCCGCATTTTGTAAATTCTTCAACAACATTTTTTTGCAAAATTTAACGGATAACGAATAGCAAGGAACAGCCACAAAACCAATAAATTAACAAATCTCACCACGACACAGCATAGCACTGACGACATGCCGCCATATTGAATGTCAAGATTAGTCAAGATAATCGCGACTCTGATCGTGCCATTTAAATTGTTTAAATTTTGTTGAGAAGTGCAATAATTACGTTTTAAGATGAGTTAACATTTATATTGGGATTATATATTCATAAATAATTAAATTTTTAGAAATTTTGTATGTGTTTTTGTCTGAAATCGCGAACCAATCAAAGATTTGTTTTTCTCTATTTTAGGAAATTAGTCAAATGTGGCCATTATTTCTATTTTGTTCTAATAAAAACCAAAATGCAATGAATATTTAGAAAAATGTTTATTCCATATAAATCTCAAGTTTTTTATTATTTAAAACAGTGCCGATTTTTTTAATTCTCGCCGAGTTATGTCATACCCAATTCAATAGCATTCGGTAAGTTATATTTCCAATTTATAAGTTCCTTTGGTATATTGACAAAATCTTTTTAAAAATTTATCCCATAATAATGTAACAGACCCACTTTCGACCTTTAAATTAAAATATTATCTTGAAAATTATTAAATGATAGTAACAATTCCAGAAATAGAACCTAAACCTAGTTAATGGTAACATCGACTTTATAATGCGTTCATCATAAAAAAGTATAAAAGGAAGGGTAGATTAGACAGTTTCAGACCAGGGAGGAGTTGCAGTCCATTTAAGAAAAAACTCATTTTAGAGCTCTTACGGAAATTAGATAAAAATAGATACCCAAAAAACACAGGGTCTCCTGTTTCTTAATGGAAATAGTAATTTATTTGATAAAATATCCGAAATAAAAATATCAACACAAATCTTAATTCGATTGTTTGTTGAGCTTTCATTGTTTTGTTACTTAAAAATTTAGAAACCCTTTTGTAGACTAAAAGGAACGAAAATAAAGGACATTTTTAGTAAGACAGTCTTATAGTTAGTAATCCTACGAACAGAATCAGCTTTCCAAAGAACGCAATTATAAAAAGACGCAGATTGCTATTTCCTGGAAGTTGAAAGGTATGTTTAAAACAAATTTCTTATCCAAATTATTGCAAAATGTGATTGAAACAACAAAATTTCAACAATTGAGACAAATATTTTGATTTGCATTGTATTCTAGAGACCCGTTAATTAATATCCTTGATAATGCTCATACGATAATGTTTTTGTATATTGTCCATACTAAAATAGGATTTCAAATGACTTTGATTTTATCATCGAGGCAATAATACAACAGGAGTGTGTTCTATCTGTACCTCTTGCAGTTAAAATAAAGTAAATAAAACCTTATGCGAAGGGCGTAAGAGTCTTGTTGCGCGCAAAATGAAATTGAAACGAGTGAGATGGCTACACGTGTTCGATATTTCCCTTTCTAACAGTGACTTAGAGTTGCCAGATATCAATCCTTTTTGTTGTTTGCAGAAAAATAGGCAATTGTAATGTACTGCAGTAAAAATATTTACTTTTAAAATGTGTCTAAATACAAATAATAATTTATTACCGACATGACAAAGCAGTATTATTAGATTAGTATTAGTAGCTACATTTAAAACTTTATTAACGAAAAAAAAATTGCGATTGGCGCACATTGGGCTGGATCCAGTTGCTCCATAGACAACTTTATCTGATGTTTGCAATGTCTCTTTTTTTTGCTTGAATGTGCTTTGTAT